AAGGCATCTGCTGAGGATAGAAAGTCAGAGGTGTTTGTGATTATCCCATAGGCAGAACTGTGCTTTGATGAGCAAGATTGGGATTTAGCTCTCTTGAGCCCATTACCTAGCACTGATACTGTTTTCCTGCATGCTTTTGCTCCAGTCATTTCACTTCTTTGTATCACTCCCAAAGGAAGGGCAGTCCTTAGCACCGCAGGGCAATATGTGTCCCTGCTTGAGCAGAGGGATTGGACTGGATGATCTCTAGAGGTCTCTTCCAGCCTCAGACATTCTGCGATTCTGTGAAATTGTGGACCTCAAGGGATGACTGCTTCCTGTTGGGATGAGCTTCCTGGGTATATGAAACTGTGTGCCAGTGGAAAACTGCTCTTCATTATTATTGCAGAGAGGTAATTGGAAGGGCTTGGATCTACAGCAGAGTAAGATGAGGCCTGGAGATGGGAAATCAGGTGCTTCTTTCCTTGAGGAATGGAAACATTTCCCCTGGTGACCAGAGTCTATGAGGCCAGGACCATACGGATGGCTTCCCTCCCTCCAAGAGACAGGCAATCAGTTAAGCCTGACAGGTGTGAAGTTGGCAATTTTCTTTTCAAAACTGTGAGATAAACAGGCTAGCAGGAGTCTGAAAGGAACAGAGAGATAGGGAAGAAACGGAAACATTCGTGCACCTCTTTCCATAGGGCTACTGGTGCTTTGCAGGCAGAAGGATGGAGGAAAAGCGTTCACTCATCATATTCCCAAAGGCACCAGACACTCGGGCACTAGGCTAGAACAGAGCTTGAGAATCACACATCAAATAAAGACCAACTCCTCCTTCCAAAGGGCACTTCCACTGATATTGGGGGATATAGCTAGCACTGAATTGCTCCTCCAGAGCCCCTCTTTTGCAGTGTTTTCTGCAAAGGGGCAGAAAGGATATTTAGTGCCTGTTCTGTACCCAAACAATTTTCATTCCCCAATCCCACACAGTTCAGGCATGTTTTCTTTGGGAATTTGGATTTGGACCAACAATTGTGAAATCTATGGAGAAGGAAATGTCGCTAACACACCTTGGACTGGGCTGTGTCAGATGTGAGGCCAGAGCATTCATCTCAACTGCTCAAGCTAAGGGAGCAACTCCATTGGCTGGTGGCAATAATAAATTATAACCTTTTGATAAGTCTTCCCCAGAGGGTAATATAACATCTTTAACCTATACTTAAGATATGCACATTTATTATGCTGTGCATGCTTCTGCATGGCCGTGTCTGACTGTCTGATTGCTGCTTGTCAGTATGTAAAATTTTAGCAGTGGAACATGCATGGTTTTTTTTTTCTTTTTTCTTTTTCATTTTTTTTTTTCCTTTTTTGACAAGCTGATCCTTATTCTGCAGACATTGTGCAAGAGGAAGCCTGTGTCTAAATAGGAAAGGCAGGGAAGTGCCTTGCTTAGAGGGGAAGTTAAGCAGCCTCCCTTCTCTTTCTGCCAGACATCACTAAGGGCATTTGAGGCTCAACAGCACTTCTCAATGTCACTGGGTCCCCTGGCTGGAATACATTAGCATAAAGCAATTTCCTAGAACAAGCATGTTCATACAAATCAAACTCAGGTTTGCAAATAACATGAAACCCTGAAAAAAAAAAAATCAAAAGTATTTGTTACTACAAATAACTCACCCTGCTTTACTCTAAACTGGCAGGTTTCTCTCACTTCTGTTTTTTCCAGTGATTGTGGACTAGCTCTAGGAGACTCAGTGGTACAGTTTGACATTAGCTACTCTTGGATTTGCATATGGGTTAGCACTTATCTCTCAATGAATTCTATATTGATAGGTATTTCTGGACTGATGCTCTGTAACCTGACCTGCCTCCAGTGTCCCTGCAGCTTCCAGCACCTTCATAGTGAGAAGCCATGCTTCGTTTTGACGTCCCAGATATGCTGCCTTGATCTGCCAGTTTGGAGTCTGCCATGCTTGGGTATCTCTCGGGAGATCTGCCTGATCCTGAGTTTGGGCAAAGCCCATGATGGAGGAGGCAATCTCCTCTTCAGGTGTCTATGCCCAGGGATAGCGGGCAGGTTGCCTGGTGATTCCTTGCTTGTTCTCAGCTATATTTCACTCTCACTCACTACAAATTGACTTATCTGCGTTAATCTGTGGGCATGGAAATAAACATAACTGCATTATAGTTAGAAAAGCTCTAAATTCTTACATCTACCAGAAGTCCATCTCTCATCATAACAGACAATTGAGTCCTGGACTCTTAGGGTTTGGTACTTCTCCCTGTTCTAGGGAGTTAAATGTCAGGGATTTCACTCGGGGCTGACTGATGCTGCTGCTGGACAATGCTCAGTGTTGTACGTATAGCCCCAAAGGAAGTCAGATCCTCCTCTTATTCATCATCTCCTGCCCTGATCTAATTGTTGGTGCCTCAACTGATTGACGGTTCTAAAGCTGTTTTTTGCAGTCCACAGTCCTCGCCTGCAGAGATGTGGCTTTGAGAGGAGATCCAAGCCACGCTGCCATTTTTCCATGGGCCACATGCATTTCTGGCATTCCCGCCTCCAACATGTTTCGGTTTTGTTCCAGAGAAACACAATACTTAGGGGCATGGTATGACAGTCAGTTCCCGCTGCGTTCAGCTCTCTGCAACCTGAGCTTCCGAGAAGAGGCCCCATGCAATGGGTTTTATCCATCATCACTTAACTGTAAGATATGGCCTGGGAAATCAGTGCAGAATTTCCCTGGGGTACATCCCAGCAGGACCGTGGTTAAAGGCAGCCACTCCCATCCCTCTTTCCATGTTGGAGTCCCAGCCCTCTTGTGCTCTCTTCCTTTCTCCCAGACTTGGCCTGCATTGTTGCACGAGCTGCTGCGAGGCTGATTCTGTAAGATGCTGCCCCTCTGCATCGTGGTCTCTCCCAGGGCTACTGACCTGACAGACAACAGCTGAGCAATGCTGTGCTGTCAACCCTTGTCGTTACCAAAAGAAACTGTCACAAAAAGATCATCCTACCCTGGTATCAAAAAGCCTCCTGCTGCTCTGGTGCATGCTCCATACCTGCTGACAGAGAATGAGTAGCCTGCACCAAATTGCTCCTTTCGAGCTTACTCCTGAACCCTCTTCTCTGTGTCCAGCTCATCTCTTCATAAAGGATTTCATTCTGAGTTCAGGTATCAGTCAGGATCCCTTTCACTTTCTCTTTCTGATGGGGAGTGCTCGGTTTTGGTTCAAATCTCTCTCTATTTCAAGGATATTTGGTGGTCAGGAAACAGAGTTAAAGCAACTGGGAAAATCTAACAGCGTCTGTCTGTGGATTTACAAGGCTATATCACAGTGTTAGTCAGTTGCAATCTTAAACAGCTGGGGGTGGACAACATGTCCCACAGGCTCAAAGTTGTGGAATGAGTCTTTGCTAATCAATTGGGGAAAATCATTCTCCAGTATAACATTCATGTGCAGAAGTTGGGAGCAAAGATCCGTTCCCAGGAATGTTCTGCCCTCGAGGCCAGAGGCATGGCAAAGTACCTGTTGACATCAGTGTAAGCAAGAGCATGCACGCTTTCTCTGGTTTCAAGCTTGCTTCCTTTCTTCTCCCTTGCAAAAACCTTCATCTTGCAGAGTTGTCTGCCTGGGTCTTTGCAAACAAGGCTTTCTTTGTAGCGTATATTTGCAGTCAGGAAACTGGAGAAAAGGCAAAAGGCAAACTCTTCTTCCCCGTTCAGGGGCTGGTAACTGAGATGCAGGGATGCCATCTTGCTGACTTTGCCTCAGTGAGGGGAGACACTTAGGATCCCTACAGCATTTGGATGTCTTTGGGGCATGATCGCCATGCTAGCCAAACATTGCCCAGTGAGAGCACCACAACCTGCTAGCACATCAGCCAAAGGCTGATCCATCCCACTAGCCTGACCCTGACAGCAGCTTATTACAGATACCTGGAGAAAACATAGCAAGCGAGCAAGTGCGTATTGACATTTTCCAATAGATTGTCCCATTTGCTAGTTGTCTATAGCTTAAGAACTTCCTGAGCTGGAGACAGTGTCTTAACGTTTAAGAGTCTTTGATGGAGTTTTCTTACATACGTTTTTCTAAACGTTCAGGTTAACTCTTGGCTTCAGGAGTGCCCTGTGACAAAGGCTTTTGCAGGTTCCATGGGTGGCAGAAAAAAACCCCTGTTCCCTCTTTTGAACTTACTGGCCAAGAATTTCACAAACACCATGCATGTCCACCTTCTCCAGAGCACTTATTGTTTCACAGATCTTTTAACCCTTAGTATTCTGCCTTCATCATCAAGCAACTCCCTTTACAAAACACAGCACATCATGGTAACAGACCCAGGACCTGGAGAGAAGGAGCCATTTCTGTCAGCGTTACTCCCCTTAAAACTGCCAGCCACAGGTTGCAGAGCGACGCTGTCACACATGCACAAAAAAAGAAGGGGGAAAGTTTTGGTTTTTTTTAAAATTCTTTATTTAAAAAAGTACATTTTTTTTCCACAGCTGAGCCACTATTGTTTTTTATACAAGTAAAAGGAAGGGTGATGCAACACCCTGCCCACACAAATTATAACCATGAAAATGCCCCCCCCCAGACCCCAAACAAACAAATTATTACAAAGGATGGAAAACAAACAAAAAAAAAGGAAACAAAAAATCATAAAAGTCCATTACATTATTATTATTTTTATTTTTTATTTTTTACAAAAGCACTTACAACACAGATTACAAAAAAAAAAAAAGTGGGGTTGGGGTTGTTTGTAGTCCTTATTCCACAATGATAATTACAGCAAGAGGAAGAAGAAAAAGAGAGATAAAATCACTGGAGTTAAGGAATCACGCTTAAAAAAACATAAAAGTAAAGCCAAATAAAAAGGGAAGAAAAACCAGATCCTCAATGAGAGTAGCTCCACAAGTGCCAGTTTATGGTAGTGGAGGATCTGATTCCATATGCTTATTACATTCACCCTCGAATACATAACATATGGAAAGTCACACTGGTCCAAAGTACGAACTCACCCCCTCTAAGGCTTGGGTCTCTTTCCTTCGCTGGTGCACTGAATCCTTCTCTCTTGTCCCACTGCAGAAGATCAGCAATGTCTATATCCAGCACCTCAGCCCTGCCTGTCCTCTCTGCAAACTGCTGACCTTCTCCTGGCTCCTCTGTCTGGCCCAGCATCTCGCCTTCCTGCCCTGGAGCTGCAGGATGACCAGCCCTTGGAGCAGAGGCAAGCGAGTTTTAGGAGCAGCATGTGGACCTAAGGTATCTCACCTTCCCCTACCAACAGGCTTCCCCTGCCTCTCTCAAGGAGCTGCTCGAATCAACAACAAATTGCATCAAATACAAAAGGGAGGGAAAGGGGAGGAGAGGAGAGGGATGGAGGATTTGCAAACTAGGGAAGGGTAAAGTGCTATCAAAAGCCACATAGACTAAAAAACAGGCATCAGTGCACACGATGCTGGCAGTGTCCCCCTCTTCCCATCAAGGCCCACGTCCCAGGAGAGCAAACACAGACCCTGTAACTTTGGTGCCAGAGCAGAGTGGGAACCTTACAGTGTAGTTTAACTTGCTGGCCAAAGGTTTGCTGTCCTCCATCAGCTTGTATGGGCCCTTTGAATGAGGCCCTCATGTAGATCATATGTTCAAAACCATGATGTTTTACAACATTTTTGCAAAAACATTTGTGGCTAGGAGAAGTTAAGACTGAAGTCTGTATCTCCAAACGGCCTTCTTGGGCATTTCCACCAGCACCTCCTGTCCAGTTTGCACAGGGGTAGTAGAGTCCCTACCCATTAGCACAAGCCCAATAGAAAATCATTAACCTTTTTACCAGAGAGCTCACCTGTAACATACCCTGTTGCTTTTCCTCTTATAAAAAATGGGCCTGAATTGCACCCCCCTCCCCCCATATTTCTACATTTAAATACTTCTCAGAGCTTTGTGTAGGTAGCTAACATGACAGATTTGCTTATCTCCTGTCCTTTTGAGCAACTGAGCAGTAAGCTCTAAGTTGCTTTCCCTCTGCTGTTTCATCATAGTGACCAGCAAACTATAGCTCTCAAAATCTTTGTGTGTGTGTGTTTGTGTGTGTGTGTATAAGAAAGAAACAGCAAAGGAATCTAGCAGTGGCCCTTCTAATTGCATTCCCTTCTCTAATTGCCTGAAGATCAGTCTTCTGAATCTCTTTCTCTAACCCTCAGTGATTTCTGCTGAAAAGTTGTTGTGTTTCTTTTTTGTCTCAGCATTAGGAAAATGACTTGCTTTGTTCCTTATGTTTTTGCAATCAGTTTTGTGCTACCATTTTTTTTTCCTAAAGAAATCTTTTTTTTTTTCCTGATGAATTAAAATGCTTGAACAAAAGGGAAAAAATATCTTGTAATTAAATAAGGAAAAATAACAGCACTAGGGTGAACTGCAATGAAGAATCCCAGGCATAAGCCCCAGCAGAGAAACAGCTGGGATGTTTTTGTGCATAAACTATGTGCTCATTTCGGGTTGTGACACAGATGGGTTCGCTTCAGTACAGCTCCTCAAATGCCCAGGGTAGCAGTTATGAGCTCAGCACAAATGCACCTGCATTTCCTCTAATGGGCCATCTCTCACAGTAAGACCTGTGGTATTATCCCACAAGGGCTTAATTTGACCCTGATCCACTTCTCCCTCATACCTCTTCAGGCTTCCTCTGAACTTAATCTTGCAGTGCCACCGGTTCTGCCTCAAGTTGCCTTCCAGGATCAGAGTTTGGGAAGGACAGAGAGAAAAGCACCATGCTGTTACGTCTCTTGACTGAAATGAACCTTGCAAAGGGAACTGGACAGTGCACCTCCTTTCAAGTGGATGCAAGGCTATCAACAACGCCTCTGAAGCACTTTGCAAACACCTAGTCCCTGGGTAGTGGACACTTTCCTGGGAACACAAAGGCTGCCCTGTCCACCAAGCAGAAAGTAAATTCACATAGCACTAATGGGATATACATGCGCAGTTCCAGCCTGAAGTGGGGCAGCTTCCTGGGCAGCAGCATTTTCCTAGCACCTGGCCTGAGAGAAGGCCAATTCTGTGCCTGTGGGCCTGAGAGATTATGGGAACATGCTCCACTCTCACCCTCGGATACCCAGAGGGATTATCACACTGTCATTCAGCTTTTGGGTGTGAAGGGGAGGATACCACAGCGAACAGCTATGATATCCCAAAAGGCAGGTTCAGTTTGCTCTTTATGAGGTCCAACAAGGATACTTTATACCTTCTAAGCACCTCTGATAAAAAGGGAGTGGAGAAGCAGGCGCTTTTTGCTTAAACCCGCCTGAGGGTCCCTTGGAGAGGTGGCCCAGCTGGCCCAGACTGTGAGCTGTATGTAGCTGTAAAAAGTGGGTCAATTAAAGCCAGTGCTTCGACTCCAATCTGCCAGCATCTGGACCATCCAGAGGAGGTGAAGCACGAAGAGGCAAGTGACACCATCCCCAAGGAAAGGAATAGAAAGATCCTTCCTCTCTTTGAGCTCTCAGTCGGCTGGCCAACAGCAGCACCAGGATGAGTGCTGGGCTTTCACTCCCTGAAGCAGCTCTCAGGAGGCAGGATTTACATGGGCTTCAATTTGGCATCTCTAATGAGCTCAACCTCCACATTCAGGTATAGACAGGTATCACCTAGTGGAAAAAAAACTGATCTAATTACCTTCAAGGGGCCCCTCAGAGGAACTTAACTCATGGAAGGGAGTGATACTGCTATTGTATCAAAGCAGCCCTCAGATGAAACATCAATCTAATATTTTCCATGCATTTTTTTTCCTCTTCCTCACTGAAGCTTAAGGGCTAATCACCACCCCAAGAGTCTCTTGGCCAATTAGCTGACCTTGCAAAGGAGAGCCACAAGCAAACCACTGCACAGAGGCAGCATTTCCCTATGGCAGAGGGAGGCAATTACAGTAGTGGTGTGATGCTGAAGAGCCCAGAGATGCGGAGGAGAGGGAAAAGAGTACTGAACCTTGAACTTGCAGAATACCTTACTGCTATGCCATACCATGCTAAGGATTTTCCACTCCAGGCTTGCCCAGCTCCTGTGCAGAAAATAATCTGAGGTACACTAATGAGCTAATACAGCAGGGTTCCCGCCTAGACTTGTGCAGATGCACAGTGATCCTCTCCAAGAGTGCGGAGAGCATACCTTACCAGAAGGGAACTGCATACAGGCTCTAGCTTGGAGTGCCACATTGCTTCCTACCTCCTTTTTTTTTTTTTTTTTTTTTCTTTTCAGAGCCTGCTGTTTTATCTGTTCCTCTATGGCTAAATACTTGGACAGTGTGGGAGTGGACAATGAATTATCTAAAGGGACTACATCTCAAAAATGATACTTGTAAGTGCAACTTCCAAAGCCTATTTCTAGGATGTCTTATATTTCCTGCAGCCATATTGTTACTTAAAAATAGCCACACGCATCCTGTCTTCCTCCAGCCTAGTCTCCACCATTGGTCAAGCTTTATGCCCTTTTGTCTTTAGCGGCTCGTTGACTTCTCTGTTGTTTGTGCCCCTGGCTGGCAAAAGCCTAGTATTTGCCTACAGTCCCTCCTGTGTTTCACCCATGCAAAGGCACACTCACCTCCTGGGTAGCTAAGCTGTAGGCAGCTCTTATTTGTGTTGCAAATGTATAGGATGTGCTGCCTTATGCAGCTGTCCCCCATCACCAGAACGTGCCATGGGACTGTCAGCAAACACCACCTCATTTCACAATTGCTTATTTGCACGAACAGCGCGTGGCATCTGCCACTTCCATTTGCTGCAAGCAAGGAGGGTAATTGACAGTTGGGGCTCTGTCACCAAGTGGTCTCTAAAGGCTCTGCAGGGCTAGCAAGGAGCTGGGACGTTCAGGACTCCCCTTGCAATCCTGTTCATGCAGTGACATGTGTTTGCCAGATCAGATTCGGGGCCCCGCCCATGACTAATACAGAACATGAGAGAATTTCTGCCGGACCTGAGGATTTTCTAGAATGTTGTGGTGTTTTTGCTGTTTGTTGGTTTTGGTGGTGGTGGTGGTGGTGGTGGTGGTGGTGGTGGGTTTTTTTCCTTTCCAAATCCAGACATCTCTTTGCATTATATTTCTGTGCAGGGAAAATTTTTCACTCTGAGTTTGATCTGAGTCACCCAAAGACTGGGCTTTGAAACTTTTTCATAGCCCTTTTTAAAGCCTAGTTATGAAATTTAGATTTAAAGGATTAATCACTTGAGAGCCTAACTTTGGGATGACGCATTTCTGAATTACAAACTGTGCAGAATCTGCTGCATACCCCAAAGCTAGATTACAGTATGTCATGGCTAAGGTACGCTACTTAGCAATGCTGCTCTGTCCTGACCCAGATTACAGGGTTCATTCAGACTTTGGTGGTGGGGAATTAAAGCCCTGTGTGTGCTGTTTTCCAAGGCACAAAAGGGAAGTTATTCCCTCTGCAGTTTTACAACAGCCCCTAATAATGAGCCCCTACTAGTAATCAAAGAAATGGAGAAATGTTAGAAAATTCATTTCCTTCATTGCAGGGGTTGGGGGTGGAAAATGAGGTGTCCTAAATCCGTACACTGTGGCCTTTCACATTTGGAATAGGGATGAACTTGGCTGGCACAGTTTCTGTTAGCCCAACACTCCTGGCAGCCGAGGACGGACATGAGAAAATTTTGCCGCGTTTCTTAAGGTCCAGCCCCAGCGATCCCACGGGAATCTCTGTCTGCCCTGGTTCAAGTGGATACAAACCAGCCTTCCTATGCTATCTGACTCTTCTACCAGAAACCAGGAAGCACGGAGGGCTGGCAGGAACAGCAGAAAGATTATAGTGTAACAATCGGATTTCCCATTCCCTTACACCACTAACACAATAAAAGCAAGCTACAAAACGTGGAGGGCTCAGGTTGAGTGTGGTGGTGTCTGTTCAAAGCGCTGCACACTCAAGGAAAGCATCAGGGGCTGCACGGGTCAGAGATCTGGCCTTGATTCATCTGCATGGGTCTGACTCTCCACCCTCCCCTTTACAGCAGGATAACCGCTGGATGCTATGGAACAAAAGCCAGCGGGTAAGGCAGGAGGAGAATTAGTCCTGCTATATTTAGCTATGCATGATAATACAGCTCAGAAAACTGGGGATTTCTTTCCAAACAAAAGATTTATTTATACATCAAATTAAAACATACACACACACA